TCCAGCTCAACAGTGCAGCAAGTTATCTGAAAACATTTGTGTAGGCAAATGCTTTTCAAAAGCACAAGTGTTTTTATTTCCAGCACTTGAAAGAACGAACTAAAAAGCCCACTTTGTAAGCGATCAAACGATCTTGAAAATGAAAGGATGTTATTGTTTAAACAATTACCTTTACATTAAGTTGTATTAAAGAAGGGTTTAATATCAAATTGATCATTATTGAATTTTAATATTGCGTCTACTGTGTAAATACTCAATGGTGTATTTCCTAACCCTGTCCTTAATGTTACCTCTTATCTACAATCTATGAATGTAGAGTAGAAAGTAGAGCTTCAGCTGATGCTAAAGTCTAATTGAATAACCATCAAACCTGCCCTTATGCAAATTAATCTAAAATGTGACCAAAGTGTTTATTATTCATTGTATGAATACATTCTAAATACTTAAAAGTATTATTACTTTTGGGCTTGCAGCACCCACAGCAATTTGATTTTCTAGGTTCTTCTAAAAATATTGCACTGGCTTATCTTGTTTTTCCAGACAGACAGAAAAAATGTTGACATGGAGAAAAGACCAAATGTTCCCCTCCCCTCACTTATCATGTACTCTGTCAATTACATCTAATGTTTTTGCACTGAATCGTACATGTACTAACTTCACATCTTTTAGAATTCATTTCAGCCTTTGTAGAACGGCACTCAGGCACAACACTAATTGATAACAATGGTAAAAGAGGTTGTGGTTCCTAAAAAAAAAAAACAGCTTATTGTGAAATGGGTTAATATGTTCTTTTTAATGCATCTGATTCTTTTTTTTTGCAGTTAGTGAATTTTGGTTATAGCGTTTGAAGTTGCTTTTTAGAAGCTTTGACTTCAGAGTCAGTTCAGGTAGCAGATACCAATTGCGTTCTGATTTCTGCTCTGTATAGGTGTGAACGTGCTCACCACAGACACTGCTTTGTCACACAGTGAGCTGACGTAAAGCAGCCTTGTATGTTTGAGATAACTGACTTGATGAAGCTCCAGAAAATGACTCTGTTATCAGAAAACCACTCAATGTGCGATCTGAACATGGGGGCTGTCTGTTACTGAAGGAAGTAGCCGTTGCTCTGTCTGCATGATTTAATAATTGTGTTGGATTCCTCCACCTGCAGAACCGTGTTCTGTAATGAATCACGGTGACATGTAAGATAAGATAAGATCACTTTGTTACCCATATACATTTTCTTGTATTAGGAATTCATCTTTTTGCATGCCCCAGCTTGCTCTCCATGAGACACAGACACACAGACAGGGAGAGAAGCTTGGGGTCAGCGTGCAGGGTCAGCCATTGTACAGTGCTCCTGGAGCATATAGGTTTAAGGGCCTTGCCCAGGCGCCCAACAGAGTAGGATTCTTCTGCCGGCCGCTGGATTTGAACCAGCAATCTTCCAGCCACAGGGCCACAGCCACAGAGCCACTGCTCCCTATCCCTGAATTTCCTCATAAGGTCCTGGGACATTATCTGAGGTGCAAAACAATCTAAAATATTGGGGAAGTTTCATTTTTCTGTTTCAGTGAAAATGAAATGCAGCATTATTGAAAATAAAATATTTAAATAATAGATAAAAACTTTTTTTAAATGATAATTCATTCTGATCGTTATTGTTACATATAAAAAAGTTAAAATTAGTGTTAACACCTTGTATCCTAACAGTGTAAGAAAGATTAAAAAGGCTAGGCCTGGTCAGTACTGAGATGGGAGACCTACAAGAAAATTCAGGCAGCTGCTGTCAGTGGTGTTTGTGGGCCAGTAGGTGGCCATCTTCCCTCTCAACCAGAATTTCCGGACCGAAGCTCCAGTATGGTGATGGGGGACACGATACTGCAGAAAATGAGACATTAGATTGCGACGTTGAGTACACCATCACTTAAGGACCTGCAAATGCTTTAGTGTTTCCTTGGTGTACAATCTGTACTTTCTGCACATCCCATTTCATTTAATCAGCGAAGCGATGTCTTGCTCCAGTTTCCTGTGCAGTGGAGCTGTTGATGTAGAATGGCCGCTGTGTGTCTCCCAGGTGGGGGCTGCTCTTCAGATGTAGATGAAGTGGGTCCTCTTCCATGAGTAAAGTGCGTCCTTTGGGATCAGATGAATGAAAGGTATTATCACAGATCCACAGAAAGCACAGTCAGAGGGAATTAACTAGGTAAGAGTGTTGGTTTTCCAAACCACTGGACTTGAGGAGTTTCTCGCTACTGGAGAGCCCTGGAGGAACTGGGTGGAAACTCACATTCGCGTTTTGACAGCAGGGTCAGCAGAAGAGTTTCATAGCTACAGTACAGGTGTAAACTCTGTTTAGGGCCAGCAGTGTGTTCTCTTTAGAGGGTTAAAAAAAACATTTTAAATTGAGATGTCTGGCAGGCTAATTAAATAAAAGACTGAGATTACCACTGGGCTCTGTGTTCCCAAATCCCACAGCAGAAAACAAATTTCCCAGAGGGGGAAGCAGAAGGCGACAGAGTGAAGGAGGGTCTGGTCTGATTTTGTCGCGCTGGTGGAGGAAATGAGACTGTGCTCTGTGTTGGCTTGTCTGGTTTGATAAATGTTCCGGTGAGGTGGCAGAGTGAGTTGATGGGCTGTGAATGACTAAAGATAATACAGTAGAGATAATTCGGGCAGCTGTATTGCAGCTCCTGGCCATGTCAGTCTACGACGTGCACAAATGTGTGGTTTTTTTCACACTCCTTCTGCCACTTGATTGTCTTTAAAAAAAATATTGATCCATTTTACATTTTTAGTCGAGGGCGCAGTGAGTAGTGTTAGGTGGTTGGACTCCAAGCCAGGGTGTTATGGGTTTGAAGGCTAGGCAGGACGTGTGAAGGCCTTCGGGCTCTGTGGTATACAGTAACTGGGTACAGAAGCTCCATGTGGTCATCGTTTCCCACTAAATCCGTCTGCTTAATAAACGATTTCATCATATAAAAACGCTGTATTTCTTTGTATTAACTTATGCATTGTTCTTATAAGAATCAATTTCATTCCATTTTTAAAATCAGCGCTGCTTTGAATGGTCAGTTTGTGCTCCAGACATCTGTCTCCAAAAACATTTTTGGAGGCTGTGGTCTTAATTTTGCAGAATTCCTTGAAATCCAACATGGTTCCCCTTCAGTTACTATTGAAAAAGCTGAAGAATGAGAAGTTAATCTCCCGTGTGCTTACTCTGTTTCTAGCTGGCTAGATCCTTCATCGAGGAAGGGTTCTTCCGTGGGATCAAAGCCCAGGGAGACTTTAAGCCAACTTCTAGTCATTTTATGCTTTTTTTGGGGGGGTATTTGTCAAAACAATGCAAAATGTCAATACAGGTGTTTCTTCTGCTTCCCAGCAGGCTCTAGGTGAAAACTGCAGAGACATTGGCAGCATAAACAGCGATTGCTACCACTGTCATGGAGAAGATTGGCCGGCTGTTCATCAACCTCCAGCAAGTCCAGCAGGTCCCTCAGATGCTGAAGGAGGCTGCGCCCTCCCTACCCTGCACCATGAGGGAGGGCGAGGTGCCCTGCTACCTCCGGGAGCGCTACATCCACACCGGCTACCGCCAGATGCACCAGGGTTGGCGCTACTACTTCCTGTCCCTCTTCCAGCGCCACAATGAGACGGTCAACGTGTGGAGCCACCTCCTGTCCACCCTGGTGGTCCTGATGAAGCTGTCCCAGCTGGCGGAGACGGTGGATTTTGTGGGGGACGTCCATGCCTGGCCCCTCCTCATTCTCCTCCTGTCCTCTTTGGCCTACATGATGTGCAGCACCCTTGCCCACCTCCTCTCTGCCAAGTCAGAGTTCTGCCACTACGCCTTCTTTTTCCTGGACTACGTGGGGGTGGCGCTGTACCAGTATGGCAGCGCCTTGGTTCATTTTTACTATGCCATCGAGGGCAGCTGGCACTCTCTCCTTCAAGGTATGTTCATGCCCTGTGCTGCCTTCTTATCTTGGTTCTCCTGCCTGGCCTGCTGCTACAGCAAGTACTGGAGCCACAACCTGCCATACTGGCACCGCAAGGTGGTTCAGGTGGTGCCCTCTGGCCTGGCCTACGCCTGGGACATCAGCCCCGTGGTGCACCGGATCTTCTCGTGCCACCCCTGCTCCCAGGATCCCGCGGTGTTTTTCCACGTCGGCCAGGTGGCCTTCTTCCTGTCCAGCGCCTTCTTCTTCACCCAGCCTCTACCTCAGAAGTGGTTCCCGGGGAGGTGTGACGTCCTGGGACAGGGCCACCAGCTTTTCCACGTGCTGCTGGCCCTCTGCACCCTCAGCCAGATCGAGGCCTCCCGCCTGGACTACCTGGGCAGGCGGCCGCTCTACCAGCGTCTCCATGGCGACGCGGCCGCCCTCCACTTCTCCCTCCTGTTTGTCTTCACTGGAGCCGTCAGTGCCCTGACCGCTGTTGTCATGAGTGGGAAAGTCCGCAGCTCCCTTGACCACAGAGACAAACTGAAGTGAAGACCCGCTGATCTTGGTGTTAATGCCCTAGCCTGTGGTTTAAGGATGCACTATAAGTGCAGCCTATTGCTCTTGTACTTTTTCACTGCTAACACCTTATTATTGCTGCAGACGTGCTCTACAGTATCGCTCGGACTGTGAAGACTAATTGCTTGAGATATGCGAGTACTGTTTTGAAGTCTCTACTGTTCTCGAAGTGCCTTCCTGTCTGCCACAAAAATGCAGAGCTTCTCTTCTAGTACAGCGCCTGTGGAGAATGAAGGTCTATTTCTGCAAAGGTCGTTTGTGTCTATATTTTGTGTTTTTAGCTGTGCAAAAATACAGTAGTTGGAGGTCCCGTTACGTATGCTGGTCCACTGCAAGGGCATTATTTTCACAGCTTGGATCAAATCTGTTGTTCTTTTTAAATCAAATGTTCCCATTTTTTTTTGTGGTCACAGACATTGGTGGAATATGAATGTGTTAAATTCCCAGATAGGGTCTGCCCCCCCCCACACACCCCTGTATTGGATGAAGCAGTTAGAAAGGAGATGGATGGATGCTGGTTTTTTATGTTAGGTTTTCTACATTGACCCAAAAAAGGTTAGATTTTTAATTTCACCAGGGCCTGGTTAAATGTGCATAATGCGCATTAAATGCGGATAGATTTAAAATAAGACAGAATGTGCATCCTTGCTTGCATTTTACACACATGTCTAAATGCAATCGCAAGCAAAGCACAGGACAACATCAGTATTCTTTATTTATGCTGATTTGTTGTCAGAGCTGAGGTTAATAAATTAAAATGAGACCCGTGGACTCTATATCACTGAAATATGTTGCACAGCTTTCTTCATAGGGAGCAGGGGTGGAATTTGCACAAGGTAATCCAATCAACAATAAGGTACATGTTAATAGTTCTGTTAAAGAAGATGCTCATGGAGTCTTGTTAGTAGCCATGAGCACCGAAATCCACAGAGTTTAAGAATCATGAATGTTTCACTTCCAATAGCCTTTTCCCCAGCTGCACTGTAACACTGACTGCTTGTTTTGCGAATGTCTTTGGCCTGTTTGACGGGTACAGTCGGGTCTTGCCAAATTTGTTGCATCCCTGAACTCTTTGGATTTCTGCTTTGCTTTTTGTCTTGTTTTTTTTTGTGCTCCGTGCTGTCTGTCACCAGCCAGCGTAGGCAGCAGTGCTGATTGGCTGGGGCACAGAGATCACCATGGGGACTGCTCACGAGGCAGCAGTCCTGCCCAGCTCCTGTGATGAATGTGCTGTGCTAGAACAGGCAAGAGGACGATCTGCATAGTGGATTAGTTCAGAGGTTGCTTTCCTTTATTCTGTCCTCTTTGGCGAGTTTGTGTTCATTTTGAAAAGAAAAAAAGACAATACAGTATACAGAAAATATGAAGGCAGTTGCTGGTAGTATTCAGTTATTGTATAAAGGGGACATCTTAGGCCATACAAACCCATTAATCAAGCCGCATTCTGAGCTGATAAAAGCCTGTTGCTCTGCTATAATTGAGAGCTAATTCCCCTTGTTGAGATCAGGATGTACAGGTATGTATTAACGAGCAACCATGCATCAGGCTTCCCACTGAGCTTAGGGCTGAAACTAAAACAGACATAATTTCATTTTTCACCATTAGCCCATAACACACGTAAGCACATAGGAGCACTTTGAATAATAACCTGGGCTGCATTCAGGAAACACCTAAATCCATCATGATGCTGCAAGACAGAAGCTGGCGTTGTTGAACATTGGTGACAGAGTGCTCTAAGGATGTTGGTAAAAATATAGTTATTAAATCTAATTGTTTATGGAGGGTTGCCCAGGTGGGAGAGTCACCTGGTGCATGCTGCAGTGGGACAGTCTAGGGAAAATGATAAAGTAAAGCTCCTGAGAGCAGGTAGGTGCCTGCAGTCCAGCTGTCCTGGATTCTGCTCTGGGTTGTGTCATATGCTCCGGATCTCCCTGGGAGAATCGGAGCAGGCTGAATACCGCTGGGGTTAGTCGGGATCGAGACAGTGAGAATTGTGCCTGTCCTGCTGTCCAGGGCGTCAGTTCTGCTGTTGGTGGATCAAGCTTAGTGCCTGACTGCACGTACGAAAGCGTTGTGTGTGCGTCGTCTTCATCTTCAGTGAGCTGAGCTCGGTGAGGAATGGCAGTTCCAAACTGAGGTGCAGTAGTGTTAATTTGACCTTGTAAAAGAAAATATATCGCAAAGAAAAAATACTATCTCTAAACTTTTTTTTTAGATGTAGCATGTAAGATAATTCTGCAACATGTTTCACATCTGTGTTATGAATTACTGTAAGTCATAGTTTGCCACTGTAAGATAAATGCTCTTGCCTAACATTTCTGTGGCACAAAGTCTCATTTCAAGTGATTTTTAATGCATACACATGGCAACAAAACAACAGTAACTTACAATCTCACTTGCCGCACAGAAGAGATTAATGCAGGGCTGTCCCATCCTGGTGGGCTGGTGGTTTTGCAGAGCTGGGCAAGACATGGATAATGTCATCATTTTCTTTTAATTATCCTAGTAGGTTTTCTTTTGCTCTGAGCTATAAAAATGTATGTGCACCTTTTTAGTGCCGCTGTACATAGTGAATATCATGCCTATTTATCACTTTTGTTTTGTAATAAATTGTAAAAAAAAAATCAGTCACTGTGGTGATTTATATTTGAAGGCATTTTTAGCATTTTCTCATCACTTGTTTGTTGTTAATGGTCGCCCTCTGGTGGCCAGAAGTTGCTTGTGCATTGATCTCAGTACACCTATTGTGATACTAATGAAATAATTTCCTGTTGCTGTCCATCACAATGTATGTTCTATAAATGGAGAGTTTTGTTCAATCACGGAAGCTAGATAGTAAAATCTTCTCCTCTCGATTGTAACCGTTCTTATGTAACACTGATTCTGACGCTGTAGATTTGACCACTGACATGTGCCAAGTCCGAACACAAGATGCATTGTGTCTGCAAGCCTAATATTCTCAACTTCTGAATCAAGGTTATCTAGTGTTGAACTACAGTTATGCTCCAATGATACTTCCAACCTAGAATAAACCACTTCTAGGTTTCTTAAATTCATTCATGCAAGTGGTAATTGAGTTTTTCAACTGACTTTGCTAAAGTATGGTGTGACAATAAATGCATATTACTACAATAAATGCAACCTACCGACAAAACTACTCTTCTACTACTCTACACCAGGGATACAATGGCTCCCTCTGCCATGTCTTTGGTCTATTTGTCCCTGTTATGCAGCGCCCATATGGTGTTGGTTACTCGTTGTGATGTCAGTATCACAGGGCCCGCCTGACTCACACTCCCAGTGCTGAACTCCAGAAGACCTCCGATTCGGCGCAGATTAGGAAGACCTTTAGCTGCTGTAGCTGATTGGAGCCAGTTATTGAGGAAGGACTCTTCTTCGATCATCCAACTGAGTAGGAACTTCCATCAGAAGTTCCCCCTTTTTTATTTGACAAATACCTATTTCAAGCAGGCAGCTGCGTCAGCATGCATAGGCTGCAAAGGAACAGGTTGGTCAAAGGATGTTGAATTCACCTCTACATTTCAGACTTCTTGCACTGAATGCCTCTGATACAGGCCCATACAAATGGATGTGTTTAGAATATCCTCACAGTAAGGTTATACATGGTCCATATGTGGCTAAAAAAGGTTTCTGTTACATACTAGCAATACTGACCTAACATGTGAAAGATATAACCATGTGCTAGTCATATTAATAGCCTCTGGTGCAAAGATGGTCATCAAGATCCTACACTTTTTCAGAAACCATAACTATTTTTATTTCCTTAAATCAAACACATTGGTAAATTTAGAACACATAGCAGCAACTTGAAAAAAACAGAACTTCAAAAACAGACTGTGGACCTACTGTAGCATATACTCTGTGCTCTAGGATCCAGAGCAATGAGGAAGCTACTGTGTTTAATACCCTCCTCTGATGCGGGACATTAAATCATAGAAGTAAATAGGAGAAGAGCAGGTAGTGTGCAATTTCCTCAAAATCACTTCTCTTCCTGATCTCTGTGGTGTGTCTGCCATTCACTGTACAGGCGTGAGGGAACATAACTTTGAGACTTGGCTGGGAGAGTGCTTTAGAACTCAATACGCCGGGTAAGTCAAACTGAGCTAATCTTCATATACCTCACCTCTTTAACAGATTTCTTCTGTCAACAGCAATCACCCAGAGAACACTGAAACACTCCAGAGGCTGGAAAATCTTTTGATGGGAAATTTCATTTTAGATGGCAGCCAAATAAGATGATTAAATCTGCTGTTTCTGCTGTTGAATCTTTGTGTTTAGCTCTGACTGATGGTATAGGCAGAACCTGTCTTTACATTTCCTTTATAAAAGGGAAAAATCTACCTTTGATACATCCAGCAATATCCACACACCTGAAGAAGGCTCTGCAGCCAAAATGTTGTGCCTCTCTTTACTTTTCCTTTCAGCTGGAATTAACCTTTACCTGTTCCTTTGCAGCCTGCTCAAGCTGACGCAGCTACCAACTTGAACTTCTATTGTAATTTCTATTTTCTTTCAAAAGGAAAATCAGTTGGAACTACTTAATCTTTTACAACAGTTAAACAGAATTCCTGGGGCATGCAAAGTGTGCACTAAAGTGCTATCTAGTCATAATCTTCTTTTTACCTTTCACAAGAGACGGGAAATTAAAAAAAAATGTCTCTTGACAAATCAGGCAGTATGTTCCATTAGTTTTCATATCAGAGCAGCGTCCCTGGTGTACAGGTGTTCTCTCACCTGAGCCTTCACATCTGTGGAAACACTAGGAGGCCAGCCTGGATTGAAATGCCATAGAAAAGCTTCAGGACGTTGGTGTTTCATGGGCTGCCAGATACGACAACACCCCCAAACCTTTTCCAGTACCAAAACAGTTTCCTCCAAATGCGCTGCGAGCGCAGGAGGCCTGTGTTTGATTCTGGTCCGCAGTTAGAGCCGTTTTATACTAATCCACAGACAGGAGACAGGAGACGCGCGGGACATGGCCCAGGAGACGCTCTTCCTGACTTCGTCCCTGCCGTGGAGTGCTGGCGTCCTCGGCGTTTCCTGCGTCTTCCTCGTCCTGCTGCTCCTGCTGTGCAGCCACTGTGGAAAGAGGTAAGGGGCGCGTTGGCGGGCCTGGGCCTCAGCTGACAGAAGCTGGCCCCCTCAGTCGAGGCAGCTGGGTCCTGCCCTCGGTTAAAAGGGGATGAACACAGGCTGGTCTGCGTGGGGGACTGCTGGTGTTACAAGGACTCTCTTGCTCTTGCATAGATTTCTGTGAACGTCCCTCTGATCTAACAGAACTTTGCCCCATTGCCCTGAAGACCACTCATATCAAGGCCACGAAAACAACACGATGTTACTTTGCCCAACGCTGCAGTTCTGTAATGGAATTCTTTCTTCTAAGAAGTTAAAATGCTTGGAGGCAATGCAGGCTAAATTCAATAACATCTCTTTTTTCAGGAAGCCTAAATCACCCACTGACTCGAGGACCAGCGGGGTAGCAGATCTCTCCTCAGTAGTAAGTCAGCTACACATTCCAAGTATCCTGGAAAAGCTGTGTGTCCAGATGTGTTCAGCTAGCATGTCTCACCTCACGGTTACAAACTGAAACATTCCAGTACCGTTCCAGACAAGTCAGCTTTCCATCTATCACCACAGCTCAGGGATGGCAACTGCAGACGTCCCAGTTCTACTCAGTGTGTTACTTCCTGCGCAAAATGATGCAACATCATTTAAATCTACGGGTTTGATGAATATAGGCTTTTAAAGACATCTTTGTCGCAAATGCCCCCTGTCTTCACTGAGGCCCTGGGCAGAAAAAGCAGTGTGGTGTTAAAAACCGAACATGGCGTCTGGGCTTAATTGGACTCAAGAATCTCATTTAAACAATATGGGAGCAAATAAAAAATAAAACATATTTAATGAAGTATATAATTTCATTATATATAATAGAATGAAATATACAATTATATATTGTATATTTCATTAGAGGATATAAACTGAAAAGTACAGAATTCACATTAAGCAAAGCTATATGTTGGCTACTTGTGAATGCTAGATTGTGGTGGGTTATGTTATGTGCAAAACATATGCAGGTTGGGACCATGAGCACTGAAATGTGCTTCAAAAGCTCAGAGAGTCGAAGGTCTGAGAAATGAAGTGACGCTTGAGTGAAAGTCATCACTGCCGTCTACTGGAAGGACTATGCTGAGCAAACAAATGCATGCTTGTACATGGGCAGTGACGTGCACTGTCAGTCTTCACCAGCTAACTGATCATTGTAGGGTACAGGTGCGGTGAAATTAAGTGCATGTAAGCGTTACATAGTGGGCGGTTATTGCCATGTTTACTGTTGAATGACGCTGCTCCCACCTAATTAACCGGGAGGTTAATTAGGATACATCCAGCTCGTGAAGAGGAAGCTGTCTGCCCCTCTCTAGGTTTCACCACCCTGTCTTTCCAGCCACCGGGAACAGCGGAGCAGCAGGAGTCCGCGCAGACTGCCTCCGAACCCCAGCGGCAGGACGCAGGGGAGTCACAGAAAGGTCTGTGCCGTTTCGTGTTGTCGCT